AACTGGATGCGTAGATATGCCTACTTATACCATAAATGTATGATTTTCTATATTCCTATGTTAAAAAAAAAATAATCAAATGATTCTTTATTGTGAACACATTTTAGCTACAGTCTGTTTTCTATGGCTGACCAAAATACAACTTGTCCTGAGAGACACGTGGAAGCTACCATTTCTGACCTCTTTGGAAGGTGCTAGTTGTAGACTGCAATACTTTGTGTTACTGACCTGAAACCATATGCAGATAAGTTTTTCTCAGACTTTCCTGATCTGCATACCTGTTTTGGGTCAGTGACTTAAAGTATTAAAGCTAGTGGAGCAGCCAAGCAACTAGCATTCCCAGAAAAAGGTCAGAAATGGCAACATTGTATGTCTCCGATATCGGGTTCTAACTTCATTGTCCTTTTGTCTCAGCCTTTTATAATTGAAGCACTGGAATGCGAATGGGGTCCTTCTACAGTTTAAGGGGATTTGAAGGCTAAGCTACAGTGGCAATAGTAGCCTTGTACTATCGAGAAAGGGATAACCACTTGTAGCTAGTCACCTTATTTGTAGCACATTGAAATTAAAGTGGTTACATCTTTCAGTAGCATGCACTTACAATCAATTGTGTAGTTTTGCTTTTACACTTTATTCACATATTGTGTCCCCTAAGCATGCTAAAGAAAGTAGTACATTTTTATTTTCAAGCTCTGTTTTCTGGGTTTTTGTGCTTCAGCTTATGTTCCATTACCATGTGTTTCCTACAGAATGATCTGACCAGAAATGTATGTACTTCTGTGTACCATGCAGATAAGCTTGTTACGCATACAAATCTGAAGTCACTGCTTTTGTATTGGTGCAGTAGACTTTAAAGCTCATCTATGGTCAATTGTGTTTCATCATTCTGACGGTGCCCCTGATAGCAGTAAAACTTGTCGGGGGTTCTAACCTTTTCCCCATTCTATCTATTCTAAAAAAGGGTTCGGTAGAGATAGTGTGAATGTGTTTGTGTTTTTTTTTTTTTTTTTTTTTTTTTTTTTTTAATTTTTTATTTTTTTAATGCAGGTTTATTCTAAAGAATAAGGCACAGTTTATTTTAAGGCTTGCCCAGCACATTGAACCTAGCATGTTATCCGAACAGTTAAAATCTATGCCTACCACAGTTTTAGGTGTTTAATTTAATCAAATGTGTTTTAGCACATTTCTGTTAGTATCTGAATCCCACTGAAAGTCCATGTTTGGCACTAAGTTACTTGCTCTTCTTGAGTGGCTTATTTAGTTCTCCATAGTATTAGTATGCTCTCAGTATTTCAACACCTCAGGCTGTGCAGCATACCCACAGGCCATATATATTAGATATATCATATAAAGTATATGCTCGGTTTGTGATTGAGCCAAACTATAACCCGTGATATAAATTCAAACATCCTTACTGTTTTGAAAATGGATTTTCCATGAAAGGATGACTGAAAGTGATTCCTTTCTCGCCAGGAGTGCTGCAGGCTGCTTCCTAGGACGCAGAGTTCAGAGTTGGGTAATAAATTCTCTGCACCTACCGGTTCCCTGCACTTATGATTGTCATTGTCTATTTTAAAAGACCCTTGTGAATGTCTGTTTATTGTTTAGGGTTACATATAATCAGACATGCACTGAGCAGCACTCCAAAGAACATCCATATGCTGACCTTGCACTCCATAATAATCTGCAGCCGTTGTATAACGCAAACAAAATTGTGCATTTAGACCTCACTTGAACATTGTAAAGCTAGGTTCACACCTGTCATTTCATTAACGCACACTTTTTAAAAAAAAAAAAAAAATTGTATTTATTTTTTTATTTGTTAATTTCTGCACTGCACAGATAGAGCAGTCCATTAATTTTCAGTGGGCAGCCCTACACATGATAAACACATGATAAATGCAACAAAAAATGGCACTAAGTTACCTTTTGCTTTTTGGTATGCGCAAAAATGCATATCTGCTTGCCGTGTTTGGGGTGCTATTAACTATTTAATGGCACTGCAAGCATGTCATGTGGTGTTCTCAGACATTTTTTCCCATCAGCTTTGCTTTTTTTTTTTTTTTTTTCCCGATACATTGCAACACATTTGTTATAAAGATTTATTATAAAAACTTCACACATTTTAGAAGGCCACATACTGCAATCGACAAGGCAAACTGCACTTTATAGAGGGGGGCACAACAAGCTATGTGCAATGTGAATAATTGTCTCAGTAAAGAGCAGTAAAGCTGCCCTGATGTAATGGCTGGACAAATACCAATAACACATGGACAACACAAAAACAGAAACCGCAAACTACCTGCCTGTCTCTTCACAACGGAGGAAGTTGGTGTCTAATGGGGTGATGTCTGTACAGACAGTGCAGGTGGGGTGACCTTTCTGTACCTATTTCCGTCCTTATTAATGCCAGTTGAATGGATGATTTGCATCAAAGTTGCTACTGGCCTAGTACCCTATTTTTGCTCAGTAAGACCGCTAAGGTTGATAGTACTGCACATGCATGAATATTTCCAAATGAGAACATTGTGAAACCAATGCCTTTGACCAAGCATAACTTTATTGTGAAACAAGGAGAGACTGCTATGGGTCAGAATATTCAAGACCCTTTCCGTATAAAGACACATTTGCAAATTCATAAAACACTGGCCACCAAGGTGATACAGGGGTTGATTTACTAAAACGAGAGAGTGCAAAATCTGGTGCATCTCTGCATAGAAACCAATGGGCTTCCAGATATTTTGTCACAGCTTAATTGAACAAGCTCAAGTTTGATGCTGATTGGCTACCATGCACAGCTACACCAGATATTGCACTCAGTTTTAGTAAATCAGCCCAGGATGATCCTGTTCATTTCCCCCCTCCAGTGACTTCAATTGAACCAGTGGACTGGTCTGACACTTGGTTGGGCAAACTGGCTTAATCACACTCCGACTTCTTGCTAGGAAAAGGAAAACAAAAATCTTTGTGCCCTTGTTTAATTAAACTGCTACAACCCACTGCCATCTTTCACCTCAGGAAGGGCCTGCAAGTGCAGTGTGCTTTTGACAACAGTTTGAGTTGCTTCTGGGATCATTCAGAATTAATTGTATGTACATTTGACCTTCTTTTGCATTCCCATAGACTTGTATGGGGGGAGAAGCAGGTTCTGAAGTGAACAAAAGCCTGCTGACATGGAACATTACACTTCAGCCAGTACAAGGTGAAGGGAGGACTTTCCATGCTCAGAAGCACTCCTTTGTTACATTCTAGTTATCCCATCCTACATGGTACTCATTCCAGATGCTGATATGTTTTCTTTTATCAGGCGTTGTATGTTTCTAAGCTTGCCTATTGCTTGAGTGTTGTCGCAGTGCTTTTAGTGTCTTCTTTATAGAGAATACCCGTATCCTTCTTTTTACCGCCAAGTAGTTATGCTCACTGTCTCTTTGATATAAAATATGGCCTCTGATTGAGAAACTACATAATATAGTATAAAGGAAAATTAACAGCTGTAATGAATGTCTAAAATTAGCACTGTCACAATATTCTTTAATGCATCTCATAAATAAAAACCTGTTTTGACCTGTTTTTTAATTAGCTGCTAAATCCTGCTGAATTAAGGATTTTGAATTCAGCAGTTCATTTATCCCAGCTGAGCAGTAAATGTTCAGTGGTTAAATCTAAGTACAGTTGCATTTTATTAACTAGATATGCTTAGGCCTATAGAGATTGATGGCATTTAATTAACACTTTCATTCCCAGGAGGATCTACCATGTTTGTGTTTATATCGCCACTGTCCCAATCATTATCATGCATTAGAAGTGGTTTAATGGTGACATTTATATTGCACAACATCTCGTGTGAGTCTAAAAGGGATCTAATTTATACAGTTCTTTTAGAACATTCTTTTTAAAGGTTTACATACTCTAGACCTTTTTCTGATTTATGAGAAATGTATATTTCAAATGATGTATTATTGTATACATAATATATTCGAAAAGCAGGTTGGAATTTCCAATAGGAAAATCCAGGAATACATTTGATGCTTTTGTCAAACTGTTAATCTAGTTTTGGCGTCTTAAACATGTAATCTATGATGTTATGATTATCTGGAACTTTGTGGAGGCTCACAGGAGAACTCTATAGTAGCTGTAATGATGCTCTGACTGCTTTTATGATGACACTTCTGGACCCCCCTTTTTCTAAATGGGATACTTCAGATTATTTACCTGTTGTAGAGCGGAAGAGATCTTTGTTCCTACTGACTCATTCAGGTTTGAGCAGGCATGCAGGTATCTGCACTCTGAAACTTGCTTAGATCTCACTTTACCTGGGCTCAGTTGGTGTTGAATATAATGTATTAATATGCAGTGTTTCAGATTTTACCTTGCACACTTTAATCTGCATTGTGAATACTCTAATCTCTCTACAACTCTCACAGGTGTGGACTGTCATTAACCACTTGCCTACCAGGCACTTATACCCCCTTATTTACCAGGCCAATTTTCAGCTTTCAGCGCTGCCGCACTTTGACAATTGCACGGTCATGCAACATTGTACCCATATGAAATTTTGATCATTTTTTTCTCACAAATAGAGCTTTCTTTTGGTGGTATTTAATCGCCACTGGGCGTTTTTTTACTTTTTGCGCTATAAACAAAAAAATTGCAAAAAATTTGAAGAAAAAAAAAAGTTTCTTTGTTTCTATTATAAAATTTTTCAAACAGGTAATTTTTCTCATTCACTGATGTGCGTTGATGAGGCAGCAGGGCACTGATAGGGGCACTGATAGGCAGCACTAAAGGGCACTGATAGGCAGTACTAATGAGGTGGCACTGATAGGCGGCACTGATAGGCAGCACTAATGAGGTGGCACGGATAGGCGGCACTAATATGCAGCACTGATAGGCGGCACTGATAGGTGACACTGATGATGGGTACTGATAGACGGCACTGACTGGCATCACTCCTGGGCACTGACTGGTGGCACTGACTGGCACAACCGCTGGGCACTGACTGGTGGCACTGACTGGCTGCACTGCTGGGCACAGGTGGGTGGCACTGCTGGGCACAGGTGGGTGGCACTGCTGGGCACAGGTGTGTGGCACTGCAGAGTGGCACAGGTGGGTGGCACTGCAGAGTGGCACAGGTGGGTGCACTGCTGGGCACAGGTGGGTGCTCTGCTGGGCACAGGTGGGCAGAGCTAGTGGGCTCACTGCTGGGCACAGGTGTGCGGAACTTGTGGGTGGCACTGCTGGGCACCAATCATCAGGGCACTGATCATCAGTGCCCTGATGATCGGTGCAGATCCCTGCTCTGACCACTGCAGGTTCTCGGCAGTACTTTCCTCACGATCTGACAGCGTGAGGAAAGTGCAGCAGAGAACCGGTGATCAGCGTGTCATTGGACACGGCTGATCACGTGGTAAAAGGCCGCTGTGATTGGCCTTTTACCACATCACGTGATCAGCTGTGTCCGTAGGACACAGCGATCACGGAGATCGCCGGGTGCGCGCCCCCTGGGGCGCAGGAGAGCGCGTTCTGGGAGGACGTCATATGACATCCACCCAGAACTGGCCGGCCGCAGTGCAGCCGTCATTCGGCTATCTGCGGTTGGCAACTAGTTAATAACAATAGATTCCCTGTGGTATGGCCAACCTGGAGGTGCTCTATACACTAATACGGGAGCCCCCCAAGACATGTAACTTCCTGGCAATGTGATTGGCCCACTGCACTTCTAAAAAGTTTGAATTGAGAGGCAAGTCATATTTTTTAAATCTAAATTCACCTTTTACAGAAACTAGGCCATGCAGACAATTACCCCCAGTAGTTTCAAATGCACTGTTTGGTTTGTTAAATTATAAGTAGATGCAAATGCAATACGGCTAGGCTGTTTCCGTCCACATGTGGTCTGGTCTGAACACTCCATTGCTCATAGCTTTATGTCCGGTGTTCATTGTAGAACATCAGGGCGTGTGCCAACAGCTGCTGAGGGCTAAATAGTAGTGTGCTTCCTGTTTCAAATCTGCACATGTGCAAGACACCTTCTCTGCCTTTTCCAGCATTGCTGAGCTTGGCACCTGCTGGAATAGGTGGCAAGAGTGCACACTGGTCATGCATGACTTTGAAAACGGAATATTATGGAAAGTGCCAATGGATGCTGTATCCTGCAGTGAGTACAATGCAATGAATAAGGCTGTCAGCAATAGAGTACTTTGGCCAGGACGCATGAGGGACAGAAATGACCTAGCGGTATGGCATCTGCCCATACCTATATTTTAACAAACTGCAAAAATACAGGGGCCCCGTGTCAGCACGGACCATTTTCTGTAAGGGCCAGTTCACACCATGCCCTGAGGTGAATCACACAGGAATGCGTTGTGCATTTCTGTGTGATTCATCTGCAGCTCTGTGCAGTGCAATTTCAAGCCCATTCATTTGGGCAAATGCAATGTGTTTGCGACCTGCGATTGGGCTGTCAACTTTTTTATTGATCCCCGCAGCAGATCGCGAGGGCATTGCGATCGGAATGCTGTGAGGGAAGCCGCAAGGGACTTTGGCTCTCCCGCACTGCATTCTAGTCTGGACAAGCCCTAAAAGGTGAACTTGGCCTTTAAGAAATTACCAGAAATATGCATTTGATAATACAACACTGAAACCCATTCAGCAATCCATTTTAAGAAAGCAAACAAGACAAGTGTGAATTGCTCTAGAACTGAGAATAGTATGAACCTGTTAAAACCTTTCAGAAATATTTTCAATCTGTATAGGTAACCTGAAATAATTTTCATAACAAAACTGTAGTTATAATGCAATGCTTTTAAATGGCCAGTCCTCTAACAAGCGATACTTGACTATAGCTGAAGCCTAATGGGCATAGTCAATCATCAGGTTCTTGTAAGCTTGGAGATCTCCCTGCCATCATAGCCAACTCTGTTACTGTCCACCTGAGAGAGAGAGAGATAGATATATCTCTATCCATTTTAATTTTTTTTCTTTTTTTTGTATCTGCAAAGTGAATGAGGTGCAGCAAAGTGAAAATTCACTTTGCAAAGGGGGACATCATGGTCAACTGCTTCAGTAAACTAACCTCCTATATGCTCTAGCTGTCCATTTGTGTAAAGCACTTGGTTTTTGTGCTTTGTTTTTTTTTTTTTTTTTTTAATGAGATGTTCACTTTTAGGACCTACTCACATTTGAGTGTTGCACCAACATGCGCTACTGAAATGCATAGCAATGCCACAGATCTGTGTGCAGTTTTAATTTTTAAATGACACCCCAATGTATCATATAGTAGAGTGCAATACACCATAATATACAGTACATACCACACACTATCGTGGCCAAAGTTGCAAAAGTTTTTTTTTTTTTTTCCACCCTTCTTTGAGATACATTGGCAGCCCATTCATAATGAGTGGGCTCCCTTAACATAATAAGTCATGTAACTCATGTTAATGTGCTGCTATAGATTAAGTGTAAATGGGGCCACCCTACTTGTGCTGCCATTGGTGGCTACCGATGTCGGTGATCACCGAGTATCACTGACAGGAGTGATCTGTGTCTAAACAACACAGGTCTCTCTCCTGCCAGCAGTAACATGCTGCTGTGTATTTCTCTGCAAATTTCTCCTAGAAATACACAGCTGTATGTTTCCCTAGTAAAACACACAGCACACAGTTTAATCACCCCAGATGTTAACCCCTTCCTGCCCAGTGTCATTAGTACAGTGTTGGTGCTTTTTATTCACACTGATCATTGTATTAGTGTCATTGGGATGTCACTGGCAGTTCCTCCCAGTGCCAGAATGCATTCCGCAGTCCCACTGTAAGTTGCTGATCACCATTAGTATAAAATGTAAAAAAAAAAAAAAAAAATTCCAGTGTATATATATATATTTGTAGACGCTCTAACTTTCACATGTATTTTTGTATGGGGTGTTTTTTTTTTTTTTTTTGTAAAGACATGTAGCAGAATATATTTTGGCCTAAATGTATGACTACTTTTTTTTTTTTTTTTTTCAAAATTTTTGCTCTTTTGTGTATAGCGCAAGAAATAAAAAATGCAGAGGCAATCAAATACCACTGAAAGAAAGCTCTATTTGCGGGGGGAATAAAGAACATACATTTCATTTGGGTGCAGCATTGCGTGACCACGCAGTTGTCAGTTAAAGTAATGCAGTCCTGCATCGCAGAAATGGCCTGGTCAGGAAGGGGGGGTAAAGCATTTGTAGGGCAAGGGGTTAAGGTCCCTTTCACACTGATTTGCTTTTGATGCATTCCCATTGACTTGCAATGGATGGTGTCTTTTTGGTGCACTTTTGAAAAACTGCACCAGTGATGCAGCATGTAGAACATTTCAAAGCACAGCACACCTGCAGTGTGAACACTTACATAGGATTTAATGGGGAATGGTTTTCATGCTCTTTTTATACCCTTCTAAAAGTGCAGTGTGAAAGGGCCTAATGGGTAAGATATGGACCTAGGAACAGAGTCTTTATCCCACCCAAACCTCCAAAAAGCATTTATGCACCAGGACCTAGAACAGGACTCATATACTGAGAAAACCATGTTTTTATCCATCAGTCATAAACCTGGAGCCCCTCACGATGTGTAGGTGAGAAACCCAGGATATAAACAGCGGGAGATAGTTAGATCTGTGTTTTTATCCATCCATGTAAAGTACAGAAATGTGTATACGGTTTAGAGTAGATGCATATTTGTGTTCCATTGACTAGGCATCATTTAAAATCCTATCAAAGTAAAAAGTAGCCCAGAGTCTGTGGGTTAATGACAGATGATGTGCTATATTTAGCAGAGTTTTACAAGTCCCTTGCTGCTCATCATGAAACTGCTCTCTGTAACTCGTCAGTGCTTGAAGTAACACGTCACTCTTCTGTGTGTGAGGCTGGAGTCTTTGTTTATACGAACGCATTTCTCTCATTTGAATATACATTGATACTTGCTTAGCAAAGCCTTCCTGTCTATAATTTATTCTGTGTGTATGGTTGGTTGAAGTCACATGCTGCTCAAATGTAAGCGGTGTGGGCAGCAGAATTTTCATTTGCATGATTTTAAATATAAAACGTTGATTTATAGATTTGACAGCATGGCCCATCAAATGTGAAACACTGAAGGGAGTGCATCACTGTTAGAGTAAAATGTTCTACCTGAATGAATTTACACTCTTGAATTAAATCTTATTATAACATAAACTGGTTTGTTTATCTAATCCCACCTTAAATCATACACTGGTTGGGCTAATAGTAATGGCTGTAGCGTCATGGGAAAATTGCATTTTTGCCTCGGAGGTTTGCACATAAATGATGATGATTATTGTATTTGAGTAGCAATAAAGATTTTATAATGTGTAATTGTATGCTATGCAGTAATGTGAAGAGAACAAAGTATACAAAGGAAGTGATCTGTTTTTGCACTGGATGGTCACCCATAGCTGTTATACAAATAACAGATCACTTGTGTTTAGAAGGCTTGGAAGCTGTGTCTGTACAACATCCACATTCGGCAGGGAGGGCAGCATTGGAGTGATGCACTGGATTTGGAAGAAGGGGGGCAGTTCTTTCTGTTGTGTGCTGCCCATATACATTTACACACTATTGTATTTTGGAAACCTGGCAGGCTATCTTTTTTTTTTTTTTTTTTTCCCTAGGGTTCCCATTAGCTGACTGAGCAGGAAGTAACGCATCATCACAATGCAGTCATTAAGTGACAGGCTTAGATGAGCTGAGAATACTTTTATGTTTGGTTGACTTTCATAGGTTTATCAGTAGCATCATTTAGTTCACTTAAAGTGGAACTGTGCAGCATCTCAGTACCACAAACCAAAAATGCTATATTATTCATTTTTTTATATTTTAAAAAAACTCCTCCATTCATCCATGTCTCCATTCTTTATTTTTCTGAGATCCTTTTGAGAAACTCCTCCTGGCATTTCTTACAGTGGCCATCTTGAGTAAGGGCAGATGATTCATGTAGCAGTTACTTTTTGGAATCCATCTGTTTTTAGCTCAGGCATTGGCTAAGCTAAGATCCCTTCCTCCCGTCCTTGAAGACTCTTGGGGATGTATGACATAATTTGCCAGGAAGTAAATGAAGGAATGAGTGCAAAAAAAGAAGTTAAAACTAGTAAATATGATTATACTTTTCTATTTATTTACGAATACTTGCAGCATAAGGATTAGAAATAGTCCATGTTGATTGAGAGAGTGAAGTTCCATTTTACGTTTAAGTCAATACAGGTAAAAGAAAGCAGAGGTAATTGGTTTTCCTCAGTAAGACCATTCACAGCGTAGTAACTCATAGTAGCCAGTCAGGATTCCTTAAAGCATATGTAAAACCTCGTCCTTTAAAACAGCCCATTCAGTTTAAAATAG